TGTTAGAACGATGCTATGGTATTCTACAGATTGACTGTTTGTTTTTTGTCATCATAATCCGAGGTTAGCAGAGGACCCAGATTCATGATGTCTGACTGTTGGAAACGGTACTTCAGGTTGATGTTAGACAAAATGCATATTTCTCTCTGCAGCCTCAGCGAAATGTTTGTACATTTTGTGTTGTCCTCCAACGCATTTGCTGCCAGCGTACGTTTTTCAAGAGAAAGTTTTTAATATATTTTCATTCCGATTTTTGGCCGTTTTATCAAACCAAGCCTGGCGCCGGTCTCTTAGTTAATCTGATATTTTTTTGAAACTGGTGACCGTCAGCCTCTACTCGTTCATCATCCATTAATATCATTGCACGTTGAGGATATTGCACAGACAGCATTGTTGAAAGCTGTTTAAACAAGCTTGATGGTATTTCAGGACTGCAGATGTTTCGATACTGTACATGAGCACCCCGAATGCAGCTGCTTTCAGAATGGTGATCTTCATGTCCTTTCCTAGAGTTAGATTCTTCCATATGTCATACAGCTTGCCATAATTCGCTGATGGAGGTCCCATCTGGTTTGCCAGCACTGTTCAATATCAGCAAGTTTCTGCAGGTCAAATTTCTTGGTAAAAACGTTTTAACCTCCATGTAAAACCTTGGCGTCGTAAACAACGCGTTTCTCAACGAAATCTCGACGCAGCTGCTCACCACCAAGAATAATGAAATAATGTATTACATGGATTAATCCATTAATGACACATGTTATTCCTTTATTTTTGCATGTTCCACTTTTCCACCGCCAAATTCAGAAAAAATACTGCATACCTGAGTAGTCCATTTGTAGCAGTTTTGCTTAAACTGGGTACCTGTTACAGTTTTTTTGGTATTAAGGCACAGGAACTATCCATTGAATTTTTAGCTCTATAGCTTGCTCCCGTAAATGCTGACTACGACGTTATTTAACAGTCGCAATGGTTGTCCTTTTATCAACGTATTTTAAAAGTGCGGGGGAGGAAGCTGATCTTGATATCGATGTGAAAAATAAAGAGGCGAAGAGATAACATGACATCTTTCAGTTTGCCAAAGTTTTTATGTGGCAGCTAGATTTATCGGGTTTGATGATCGTATTTGTTTTTGATGGCAAAGTAGATGCCGAACCGGCGAAGTATACTTCTATTGAATTTAAACGCAGCTGACCTGTTCGCAAATGCGGTCGCTAGATCGTTTTAAATGCAGGCTTGAAATCTAGAAAGAAAGTATAGGAATAAGATTTCTCGTTACGTAAGCACTACGTTACGTAACATAAGTAGTTAATCGAAAATGGCGTTTGATGTACCTTGACCTTTCCTGGCTTATATTGGCGCGATTCCAGCGGTGAGGTAATTACGCTATCAGATGTGAACGAATAAAAATTCCAAGCGATTTTAAAAGAATAGATTTGTCTTTAGGTAAAACTTAGGTTGGTTACTAGTTGCTCAATAAAATAGCAGGTAGTGAATCAACAATTCTGCCTAGTTTCTAAATGCCAGCAACGACTCAACGCCTGTAGAGAGTGATTAAGCATTGGAGAATAGATCTGAATTCCCGAACGGATGATTTTAGTACAAACGAAAAGACTAAGTCAAGATCACAATAAATACAGACAGCAGTTCTTATGAATCGGACCAAAGGGCGCTAAAAATCTGAAGCTGAGGTTTTTAGAATTCACCCTTTTCTGATTCTTGATATTGAACGAAGAGTTTGCTATCAAATTCAATTTAATTCGAAAAGTAAATATCAAAAATGCGTAAGATTTTGTGCTACTCTTATGCTGCTGTAGTGAAATAAACTTGGAAGAGGCCTATAAACATTGATCTCTGTCTGATTTTTTCGCATTAAATGACGAGCTTGTTGACAAATTCAAATTATTTCGAAAATGAAATATCAAAAAATCGTGATTGCGTGACTTTTTGCTCCATTCTTTTGTTGCTGACTGATATTGACTTAGAAGAGGCGGATCGTAGGTTTGGTTAAAGTGCTTAATTCACTTACAGTCACCTACAGTTATAGATGACAGCATGCGTGAAGGATAAGGGAATTATAAAATCCGTTTTTCTGCAATGTAGGTGAGAATCAGTCTTGTGTTCACCACTGTGATTTACTTTTCTAACTTATTTGAACTTGTCGATTCTAGTCTTCAATGAAGACAAATCGTGAGTTCATAATTTTTAAGTTTTGCGTAATCTGTTTTTCAATAATATGTCATATATTCGAATATTGGTATATCTTTAACGGATTGAGCTGTTTAATATTTCTGTCATATTTTGGTTTTTCATTACGGCCTGGGCTTATAATGTAGGGATAATCCTTGCACGTGCATCGATTTTTCTGACTGTGTTAATGCTTGGTTTGCTAACATGTTTTATCCATGAAATTGCTAAAGTTTCTGTTTCAGAATCACAAAACGGTCACAGAGTCGTTGTCCATGCAAAGTACAGAGCCGCAACTGACCAAATGTTCGCAACAACTCTTTGAATTTGCAAAGGAAATTCCAGAGTTCAAAGAGATGGCACTGGCTATGTCCTGCAGTACTTCTCCCATAGAAGAACTCCTACCTTTTGTCACCTTGTGCAAATTGTAAGTTTCGTTGACCTATTTCCATATGACTGGCTGGAAGAAAGCACAAATCAGCATATGAATCACAAATGAACCATTCGGGACAGTTGCATTTTTCTGTACCTTGTTAGATATATTTTAAATACAATTATTTGAACACGCGTCATTTTCTTTAGTCCTTTTCGATCCTCTGCAGAATGATGGCCTTCAAAGGTTTTGCCACAAAATTTCGTTTTTTATGACTCTTATCCACTTTGCTCCAGTGAAGTTTTCGGCTCATCCTGCCGTCGATCTGGAAGTCAAGCAACATACAATGCAATAAATTTGTCCAGTTATCAAAGATCTTGTAGTATTCCCAGGGCAAACAGTTACATCATTTTGTTTAATTTGTTATTTTTATTGAACTAAGCTACATTGGCTGGATCAGCCTTATTTGAACTTGGTTTCACCCATATTGTAGCATTTTAAAAGATTTTTAAGAGTGTTTCATATTTCAATTTTAGTATTTTTCAACTTGGCATAAAAAATAACGGTTCGTAACATTTTCCCTTCACCGATTAACCTGTTACGATGCGTTATGTAAAAGTAATTCACGTAGCTTTATTTTCAAGGTACCAAATACTGTTTTATGGTCAGGATAGATTTGGTGGAATGCAGAGGAGAAAAGTCATCGAATGCTTTAGAAATGATGTTTTTGTTTGAATGAATCGAAGGCCAAAATTCACGGCGTGTTGCACCACTCCCTTTCTCTTAATCGCCTAGTGGCATTTAAGCAGGTCACGGCTCCAAAGTAATTGAACATCTGCAGTGCCAGATGCATCTGGTATCATTTGCCCGCTATAGCATTCTCGCGATCACTCACGCGGTTTCAGGATCTGGTCGCCCTTTATGCTACCGCATTAACATATAGATGTTTTCCTGCGCAGGCTTTTGTTAAATAACGTAAAGCTACTCCAAGACCCACTTTCATGACTTACTGCACGTGCTGAATGCAATTATCAGACAATCGATGAAAGACCAGAAGATCGCGCGAAATGATTTGCTCATCGCCAATAGAGTTATGGAAGTCGGTCTCTTTATGTGGTTTTGTAAAGCAAGAAATATAGGTTAATATGCTGTCTTGTGTTAAAATTATGACCCTTTTAAGCAGGTAAAATCGATTTTACTGCAGACCTTACAGTGCGTAGATGCATTTTCCATAATATTCAGAAGCAATGTTGTAGTGCATTTTTGAACGTTATTTGAAAAATGTTAATTCCTCGCCTGTATCTGACCTTAAAATATTAGATATTCAAGTTTGTTTGATTTGAGGTAACAAAATTCAAAATTCTATTTAGTCAGGTTCCTAGAATTTTGCTAAGTAGTCAGGAAAGGCGAGCTTTGATTTGCGTTATATATGATTATGTGTGGGGCACTTAATTTCACTCTTAAGTAATCAAGTAATGGAGGCATTAATGCGCATTCACTTGCAGAAAATGGACTGTTTTTTTCGATGGATTGTTTTGGAATGCAAAATTTTCGCTTTTTGAAGGCGATATGACCAATTCGAAAATGTTGAGTACTGTTAGCATGCCCGTTCTAATAGAGTTATATGTTTCTTGAGCAACTTAAAGTTTAGGCGAAGATCCCTTAGAGTTTTGACTTGAATAGTTTTGCTCAAAGACATTCGCAAGAAATATTTCCCTATCTCATTTAAATTTTTTTAAGCTCCAGGGGTCTGCAAGCGGCTTTCTACGCGCGTGGCATCAAGACAGCGGGCGACTTCGGCCGCATGATGGTGAAAGAGATATGTGAATTTCCGATAAAGAGGCCGAAAGTTATGGTGGCTCTCAAAGCTCTGCGTTCGGTTTATAACAGACGTGGGCCACTCCAGACGACGAATGGACAGCAACCTCCTAGTACTGAGCAGAGCAAAGGTAACAGTTGATTTCGTGTCGCTGCTGCCATGCTTACTCATTTCATGCGTTTTTAATTGCAGAGCACGCCAGAGCCACGAAAGGTGTTTCCGATGATCCGGAAGTTAAGTTCGATTACGAAAACGATGACAGTAGCAGCAGCGATGAATGTGAAGGTATAGATGCGTTGTTGTTTCGCATTTTACCGAGCATTGCCGAGACTCGATTGTTTAGCAGTTATTGTGTATGAAAAACTGACGGATTCGATGTACAGCGATAATATGTCCGGTTTACTCCAGTCCAGTATTATTTACTGCGAGTTACACGTTCTAGTGTGTTCCTGAAAAAGGGAATACGCATATGCAAAAATTATTCTTTAAAATTATCGAAAATAATCACTGAAGAAAGGATTGCCGCAGTTCAGCTATCAGACTTTTTTTCCACATGGATACTTCCTAATACTGAGGATTTATAGGGATTATATTGTTTATAGTACTACTATAATATTATTCTGAAAACTGAGAAACAGCATTAAATGGCTTTATCTTGCACAGTGGTAATGTTCTTTAGCAAATAATAAATTGCTATA